TCACAGGATGTCCCTGGCTACTTTGCTTCTATTGTTTTGGGGGTTTGATTTTGTTTTATTCCCTAGAGTTTGGGTCTAACTAAGCTAGTATCAAACCAAACACAGACTTGTCTAAACAGAGACAGCCATGTCTTTTCTCATCCAACACTACAGACTAGCTGCTCAGCAGAGAAGGAATTGTAGCAGTCCGGGGAAAGCAATCTCAGAAAGGATTATCCGTGCCAGAGATCAACACAGAAGCGTGGGCTTGAGGGTTTGTTTTATTTTCTTTTATTTTTGGTGGTAATGATAATAACAGTGGTGGTAGTGTGTGTGTGTGTGTGTGTGTGTGTGTGTGTGTGTGTACATGTGTGTATATGCATATAAAATAGAAAATAAAAATTTCTTGCAATGATGTCTAATCTGATTGTAGTAAATATTTACCAGTGACAGTGCTAATAATACGGACACTACAGTCTCATTAGTAAGATCATAATTTCCTTTCTCTTGGGACATGATTAGGTCACTTTTCCATGGGTGCTATTATTCATATTTCTTTACTTGGATGCACACTTAGGTGGACCACACGGGCTTCCTCAAATGACAGTGCAGGTATAGTTACTATAGAGACAAGTTGTCGGTTCTGTGATTAAATCTCTGGAAAAGGTTACAGTTTTAAATACTAATGCATACTATCTCCTAGTCATCTTCTTCTCTATGAAATAGTTAAAGATTTGCAAGTGTGTTCATTGTAATGTGAAGTAGCAATGTCTTGTATTCCACTGACCTATAATAAGGGTGATTTGTACTTGCCTAAGAATACATTAAGGTTATATATAGTCAGTGATCTTTTATTCAATCACTAGACTGTTCATTTTTAAAAACGTAATTTCATATGCTTTTCCTTGAATGTAAGAAAGTTCCAGACTGTAGGGATTGATTTGGGGAAAAAAATATAGGCATACTTGAAAGTTTATGGAATTAATCTCAAATATGTATTATTCTAATTTATTATTTATTAATTATCAAATTTTATATTTTGTTCATTATTTTTCCATTTTGAAAAGGAGAAGAATTTACACATACTTAATTCATTTTTGTTTGTTTTGTTTTGTTGGGAGACAAAACCCTCATGAATATTGAGTAAGTCCACTGCCTGAGCTATGCACCTAGAAGTAATTGTGTCTCAGTGGGTGTAGTCCACAGTAGCAGGGAAGCCATGGCTACTACAGCAACTGTGCCCACAGCAGTGGTCACTTACTGTCCAGCTTGTCACATCTCAGCAGATCAACAGCAAGGAGCTTAGGCCACATGTAGAAATGGCCTACTGCCTCCAAGCTCCACCTCCATGGCTCTATATCTGTCACCAGGACTCATTTCAAAAACATTCCACAACTTCAGAAAGCAGTGCCACCACCACCTGGGGACCAAGTGTACAACCACATTTTCCTGCAGGGCACATTTCAAACTCAAACCATACATTCCACCTTTCCTCTAGAGTCCCAATCTGTGAACCATAAATCAAAGATCTAAATACAGAACATGACGCTACGAAAGGGCAACTGAGGGAAAGCACTGTAAACACCGGTGTGAGAGACGCTGTTTTAAATACGATTTCAAAATACGGCCAACAAAATTAGATAAAAGAGACCACATCAAATCCAATGGCTTCTGCTCTATAGAAGAGGAAATGACCAGTCCAGTGCAAAGACAGCAGAAGAAGCACGAAGTTTGCAAACTATTCAAAAAGGGCTATATAAAATCAGAATATAAAAAAGGAAATAAAAATCTCAAAAGCAAGAGTTGAAAAATCAGATTTTAAAATAAATGGGTGGTGTGAATATATGTCTCCTTAAAACGACAAGTATAAAAACTGATCAACATACATCAAAACCACAGAGAGACAGTATCTGGATCCATTTATAATATTTCTAAAAGGTGTTGCCAAAAAAAAAAATCAGAAAAAGGGAAACTCATGTCCTGTGGAAATCAGCACAGAGGTATCAAAAAAAAAAAAAAAAAAAAACCCAAACTATAAGCTAGCAATGGCTCAGTGAGAAAGACACTGGCCACTCAAACCTGGTGACTTAAGTTCCATCCCATGAACCCATGAAAAAGTGGAAGGACTATAAACTACTATTTTACTTTTTCTTTCTGTATGTTTTTTTTTCCTTGCATTGACATTATAGACTTTGAGGACCTCATCAGATCAATTCAAAAGTGAGTGTGGAAGAGAAACAGAAAGTCAACATATTTTAAAAAGATCTTTAAGCCGGGCGGTGGTGGCACACGCCTTTAATCCCAGCACTTGGGAGGCAGAGGCAGGTGGATTGCTGAGTTCGAGAGTTTGAGGCCAGCCTGGTCTACAGAGTGAGTTCCAGGACAGCCAGGGCTACACAGAGAGACCCTGTCTCAAAAAAACAAACCAAAAAAAAAAAAAAGACCTTTAAAATAACGCTTCTGTCTAGCACGCCAACAACAAAGCATTGATACTGTGAACGTCTGTGATATGTGTATTAATAACTATAAATAGAGCAATTACAAAAAAGGAGTCACAGGAAGTCAGACTCTTCTGGCTGTTTCTTCTTTGGTGACCGACTTTATGCCTTTGATGTCCTTTAGCAGTGTATTCAGGTGAGTTTAACTCACTAAATGGCTATGAAAGGCCAGGCAGTCTATAAAGTGGTCTAGGAAGCAGGAAGAACTAACGCCAAGTCTCCTTTCCTCATGAAGTTTATAAAGTAATGAAGCACATTTGTCCACAGAGAACACAATAAGAATGACTGCTCTAAAAAGTTATTCTTTTTTTTTCTAAAGATTTATTTATTTTATGTATATGTGTATACTGCAGCTGTCATCAGACACACCAGAAGAGGGCATCGGATCCCATTACAGATGGTCGTGAGCCACCATGTGCTCTAGAAGAGCAGCCAGTGCTCTTAACCGATGAGTCATCTCTCCAGCCCCGAAAGTTATTCTTAATGATAAGGACTTCCCAGTTGAACTAAATGTGGAAAGTGCCCCTTGTTTCTTCGTTAGAGATGACAAGATAAAGTAACACTCAAAACACAAGAACTTGGATTAAGTTTTTAAAAATTTAAAAGGAGTTATAGAACACACACACAGACACATACAAAACCTTCTTCGTTTTCTTTTCAACATATACCAGCGATGAAGATACAAGAATATTAGACAACAAAATTGATCTCACATGCTAATCTAAAGGCCAATCCCAAAATATAATAATAGTTTGGAGGAAATAATATTTTCAAATATGATTATATATTATATATTACATATTTATATATTATAGCCAAAGTGCTTGCAGAAGGACTTCAATTTCTACCTTATATGTCTGTAATGTTGGAGTATTTTATAATAATCATACTTTCCATTTCCAATTAGTAAAAGAATATGTCATAAATGTGTTTATTAACATCTATTAGGGAATGATATTGGAATAATTCTTTAGAACAGTTCTGTTATGTTCCTTTATAATAGAAAAATGATTATAAAAGCTGTAAAAATATAGAAAGAAAAAATAGGAAAAATCACTGAAGCTCTTTCAAAATGGTTAAAGTGCAATCAATATTAACAGTGCTTTTTAGTAATGTCTATCCATGGGATAGAGCTAGTATTCATACATATGAATGCATATACATATATGTAGTATATATGAATATAGATACACATACTCAGCTTTTTTTTTACAAAAGGAATGATAGAATCATTAAATGTTTGTGTGGAAGTATCTGTGGGATCATGTAGAAATGTCCAAGTGTTCATGAAATCTTCCTATAAAATCTACAGCTTGTGGATTCATTCTCATATAAATTGTATCATATTGAGGGTGATAAACCACACCTTTTTTTATCACTAGTCCCTATTCTTTGCACAGTACTCTGATCTTTTGATAAGTGTCATGATCTGGGGGAGAATGAATTGGAGTCTTATTCTACTGAGCTGGGAGCAAAACCAGTGGACAATCTTCACGGTGACTGTGTTCTTTCCCCATGGCTTGCTTTGACCTTCAGAGTCCAGTATCCTCAAATATCTTAGCACTTCTGCTTCCTAAGGACTCTACCATGGAGATCTTGACAGTCCGGACATGTCAGAGCAGCACAATAGCTGCTGGGGAATGTTCCCTTTTCTCTCTTTCCTCAAAGATCACCAGCAGTGTAAGTTCTACCTTACAGAACTTTATTAGATGCTTTTCAAGAATGTTCTTATAACCTTTTCTCTCAAGGTGTGTCCCTGCATTGACAGCAGCAGGTTACAAATGCAGTGTGTCAGGCTCCACCAATCAGAGTTTTGCATTTGAACCAAAGTCTCAGGTGATTCCTATGCAAACTATGGTGTGAGAGGCACTGTCTTAAACCACCTCTCCTTTCTAAAATGGAAGCATAAATTCAACTGGAACAAGGGCAGTGTTGAATCAGGGATCAAAAGAGACAAATGAAGTAACATTTTTGTAATCATTCCTTCCTTAAGATGATCTTGCATGTGAAACTCAGCCCTGAAAGTGTAGTTCTTTCACTTAACATGACTCTGCCTCCCTCTGGAGGCTACTAAGCCCCTGACCGCCTCACAGAGATGGACTTTCGGACACATGCTATTTCCATTTGTATTCATCCAGATATGATTTAAGTCCAAATAGAGATCAGCCAGCATGCTGCTATCATAGGTTTAAAGGAGAGGAGTGAGTGAAGGCAATGAATGACACTACTCCACTATCCCAGCGTACAGCCTTCTCTAATCATGTTTAGAAATATGAGCACGAACCCTGAACATGAAGGTAGTTAGAAAGAAAAGTTCCTCCGACAGACATCTCTTTCTGGTATCCTTTGACTGGAGTCATTCTTTCATTGAGAAACGGTGTCTTTATTGGTCGGCTAGTTACTATTAGTCACAGCTGGAAGAAAATTCACCTTGTTGCTAGAAGAGGGCTGACATATCAGATTTAAGAAGCACTCTACAACAGTGAGAGGCTCGTTTTACGGTTGAATTCTCCTAATGCTGCAATGTTTTCCTTGAATACCTTCTCTGAAGAATGCACAGAGGCTTTGAACAAAGTTGTGGCTTACCACCTGCATACCTCCCATGTATATTTAGCAATGGTTAGTATGGACTCTTAAGCTGCTATGTGGGGGATTCTGCTCTCATCTGGGTGACACTGGATTTGATAGCCTGTAGAAATGTTTGTAGCTACGTCGGCAATCTATATTAGGCAAATGTTGATGTTTTGAGGTCTGTTGATTTAGAACTCTAATCATGGGTTATAAGAAAGAGAAAGACATTTTCAGTGGGTACCCCCAAATAAACTGCAGAGGGAGGCAGAATAAGTGGGTTCATACCAATATGTGGTTTTGTTTTAAATGTAGACATGTTGGGATTAATGAAACTTTCACTGTGCCTCTGTCCTGAATTTAACAATTAATGACTGAAAGTGTTAGTAAAGTAACAAAACTAATCTTCCCTCGCCCCCAGTGTTCTCATATTCTCACCTCTATCCTAGGCCTACAGTTTCATCACCGACACTGATGAGGAAAAACCTTCTTTTGTCTCATACTTTGAAAACCTGTCTGATAGTAGGAGGGAACTTGCAGGTGAATTCCTAGAACGTCTATGGAAACGTAACAACAAGATCTGCCCTCCAACATATGAGGTAACTATAATTTTGCTGTGATCATCTCTGCAGGACCTTGTCTAGTCTAGGAAACAATTGGCTGACATCTTCTTTGTTTATTCATGTTGTTAGATGGCCTTCTTTGTAACTAAGCTCAAGAGTAAGCATGTGTACCTTTGGGGTAAAACTTAGTCACTGAATGCTGTTGAGTTTTTCTCAATGAACTAACAATGCCAAGGGCGGCACTAGCTCCACCTGAGGATCCTAAAAAATGCAAATTCACCAACCGCAGTCCATAACCAAGTTATCTGTTTTTTAGAGTTGTATGTTACCAAATTCTTCATGCCATCCTAACTTGATCCAGATATCATACAGACTAAGAAACAGCATTTTTACAGACTCATTAACACCCTCTTTCCTGTCACTAATTTACCCACAGATTCAGGTTATCTATTATCTGTCTTGTCAGTGTCTTATTCTGCCTTCTTTCTCAGGGAAGACATGCAAAACAAATGGTTTGAAACTCGAGGACATTACCTGTCCAGTTACCTAAAATGTTGCTGTTGCTTGTAGCCAAAGCTTTATAAAAATAAATATCTGAATTTGAGAAAAATGGTGCTATCCCATAGAATCCCAAAGCTAGTGGAATGATTGAATATATACTTTGGCCATTTACCCTCCACGTCCTTGATCTGTAGCACATTAAAAATTATCTCTGAAGGTAAAATATATGATCCGAAGCCCACTTTACATACCCCCGCAATTAAATCAGTGTGTGGAAGTGAGCCACGCAGATACAGCTGACTCCAAAGCACCAACTTGGGACTGTGCAAATCTCATCATTATGTGTAACGCAGAATGTATTACTGTTCTGCGGAAGAAAATTAACAAGTCTGTTCCTCCCCAACAGGAGGTTGACTTGGAGGAAATAACCACACCTGTAAAAGCCATACTATTGGCCCAGACGATGGAAAGAACATTAACCAGCATCCTGCTAGATCTAAAGGCTGCTGCGGATCATGAATCAGATGTAAGCAATTAATTGAGTCTCAAGGTGTCACTTTTTTTTTCCTAGCGATTTTTCTATGGAATGGGCAGGTAGAAGTACAATATGCAGATTGAGAGGCCAAAAGAATTGATCAAGAGCATTCAAAACCTCTAGGTGAATACAGGCACCCACTCACTTAGAGCATGCTGGGGTATTTCATCAGGAGTGTAGATCACTTCACGGAAAAAGCACTCACGTTATGTGTTTATCCACAAGGAAGGGCAGAAACGTACTGCTAAGAGTGACGAGTGACTGGGGCATGAGAGGTTAGAGAGCTTCATAATCCCTATTAAGATTGTAACACGTTATGGGATAGACTTCTCAGAGGTAATGTGCCCTGGACAATTATACAAAATGATGGTCTGGTGTCAGCTTGCAAACTTCGTTCTGAATGCCTAAGCTCATCCATCTCCCGAAACATTTGGAGAGCTTACTACCAAAAATCTGGCAAGACACTCACAGTGTGTCTTGTTTGATATGCTTTGCATAGGTCTCCAATTTGCCTTTGGACTAAGTTCCAGAGAATGCTACTGCCAGCTGGGAGGTACCATTTGAGATGTTACTTATACTATAGTCTTGATGAAATCTTCCTGGCTATTGATGAACTCTCCTCTGCAATGTAGAACTCACTCCCCAAGCCCAGAGCATCTCAGGAACCCAAAAAGAAGAAACCACCTTAGCACAAAAGTTCTCCTTAGCACAAAAGTTAGACCATAAACTCACTGAGGGACTCTAAAGATGTAGAAATAGTGGAGTTTTAGGCCTGAACATCTAAGTCTTTGAAAATGAACTCTGGAAATCTAGTCAAAGTCTTCATGTGATTTCAAGTTAAGGGGTTTGAGAAGCGTATATTTCTGTAAGAAAACTACCCCCCTGATGAAGTATCCAGGCATGCTGAGTGCCTGCATTCACCCAGAGGTTTTGAATATCTTTGATCTGCATTCCTGGCCCTCCTGTCCTTCTCAGTACTCAGGGAGTGATTTGGTGGGTTTGGGCAGAATTTGAGATTCTGTGTATCTGTAGTGCTTTGGACTACAATTTGGGCATATCACCTCATGTTTCAGATACCGTCCTTAATGAATGTCCTTTCCTGTTGTTTTAGCTCTTAAAACTTCTAAAATTGGTCCTCCGAAAACAAAAAAAGAATGAAGATTATATGAAAAGTCAACTTGCTTATGAGCAAAGAATTGAAAGGGAGAACGCCCAGACTGAAGAAACTTCTACCTCATCAGCTGTAGTAAGACCTCGGAAGCTGAAGAGGCAGCATGATAGAGATTAAAAAGTTCATCATTTATAAAGTGATTTAAGAGCCTCCACCACCTCCGATTGCTGAAGACTCCTTTCTTTTCCATTTTCCTAATGTTCATTGTTTGGATAAAAAATAATAATAAATCTGTTTTGCATCATACATGTGCTTAAGAGTTTAATACATGAGAAGGGACAGATGTGCGACTGGTAAAAGTATCCTGAGGGTGTACCAAGTACATTAAATTTGTCACTTACAGTTCTCGAACATTCTGTGACAATCAAGATTAGGAGAATTCAAATACCAGCGATTGTGTAGAAATTATACGGTAAAACTTTATTTTTATCTTATGTAGATGAGTGTTTTACCTGCATTGCTAGCTACCCTGTGGGTGCTGAAAATCAAGCCCAGGTCCTCTAGGAGAGCATCCAGTGAGTGCCCTTAATATCTGAGCCCTCTCTCCAGCCAGTGGTATAAGTTCGAATCCCCATATTGTGCCCTCATTCCTGTATGTATTTTAAATTGGAATTTGTTGTTGTTGTTGTCTTTTTTGGTTTTCTTTCTTTTCTGGTTTTTTATTTGTTTGTTTTGTTTTCAAATAAATGGAGTTTGCAAACAAGATTGTTCATGTAGAAGGGACGACTCTCACCTGAAGGATGCACAGCAGATGGCAAATGCCATTGGTGCCTTTCCATAAGCAGAGAGATGGGTGGAATGACATAGAGGCAACTAAGTCACTACAGTCCAGCATATGGCTTCCCCTACTCCCTTGCAGTGAGCCAACTAGCAGCTACTGGAGCAGTTGTTTTCAGGAGCAAACAATTAGAATGTAAACTTAAATTGGACTTCCCATGGCTAATGAGGAGGCTAGTGCAGAAATAGTAGGCTCTATAGCATGTATATTCTGACTCTAAACCTTGTTAGTTCTGCATTTGTGGGTTTTGGTTTGACTGAATTTAATAACATATAAAATGAGGTTAGTCCTTTTGTCAAATACTCTTAAGAAAATACATATAAAATACATAGACCACCTGTTCAGATTATGTATTCTATTTTTGTAATATTAACACCTTTTAAACACACACAAAAAAACTGATGGGTAAGAAACAATCCATTAAGACAATAGGATAGGAGCTATAGATAGGCTCAGTGGTTAATACTAGCTGCTCTTCCAAAGGACCTGGGCTCAATCCCAGCACTCACATGGTCTAGAGCTGGGATGGTTGTAGACTCTGGGTAAGGATGGAAACTACTACTACTGGTTTTCTAAAGGGGCTTGGTATCAAACTGCCTTCTAAGTATTTATGTTTATACCCATAGATTAGTGTTGCTCTTTGCCTTGGTCAGAGAAACATCTGTCTGTAGTAGGCAATGGTTAATGAAGACACTCAGATGGTTAAGGTGCCTAAATTGGTAGCGAAGTACACACACTGCAAGGTTCAGGAGCCAGTGAGATGGCTCAGCAAGTGGAGGGGATGTAACTTCCATCATCAAGATCCACATGGTGGAAGGAGATAACTGATTCTCATAAAGAGGCACCTGCCATATGTACATCATGACATATGTGCGCACACACAAGAACACACATACACATGAGTGCATACATAAATGTTTACAAATATTAAACAAGCAAAGGTACTCACTCAGCTAGGGGAGTAGCTGCTAGCGTGAGGCCAAGGTGGTGAGTCAGACGTCCTAGCAGCTGTAATCTGACTTCAGCTCCACTTGCACCTGTCCTAGATTGTCTGAACCAGGGAATGGAGATCCATCATGCCCAGAGAGGTAGGTTGGCAGGAAGAGAACTGGGAACTAGAGTTACAAGTGGACTGTGGAACCCAATAGAGAATTAAGAAAAGCTGCCTTGTCAACATACAACCCTGAAGACAACCTCAAAACCAAAGTTGGGTTGTGAGGACATATGTGAGCAAAAGTATAACACAGAGACACATCCACCATCAAGTCTTACATCTTCATTCAAGACCTGCAGACTGAAGATGCTGCATGTGGGCCAAGGGGTGCCCCTTCAGCCTTAGTACCAGTCCTTTAGAGCCTGGGTATGACACTGGGCCCTGGCACTGCTTGCTCAAGCATCTCAACAGGGAGTACAAAGAGCACTTAGTAGTGAGCTTCTGACAAAACCCTAGGGAATGAACTGTCTGGATCAAGTCCATATCCCAGCTCTGTGACTAACACTGCCCACTTGATGATGTTAAAAACAGGAACAGCAACAGGCTTATTTCACTAAGTCAGCAACAAAGCCCTGGCCTGGTGAGTTTGTTGTTTTTAGGTAATGAAGATAAAGTGAAATTTAAAATTGCTTATCCTTCATGCCACAATTCACAGACTCAGAGAGGCTATATAACAAGGAGGGCTCAAGTTGGGGATGCATGGATCTTCCTGGAATGAGGAAATAGACTAGATCTTGTGTGAGGGCTGGGAGCCAGTGGGGATGAAAACAGAAGGGGTCAGATGGATCTAGTTGGAGGGAGAGAGTACAGGAAGAGACAACTGGAATTGGGGTAGTGGGGTGAGGGAGAAACCTTACAATGAAAACTCTCTGGAGTCTATGAGGGTAACCCTAGCTAAGACTCCTAATAATGGGGGATATGCAGCCTGAACTGGGCATCTTCTGTAACCAAGCAAGACTTCCAGTGGAGGGACTCGGACACCAACCCAGCCACAAAACAACTTTCCACCTATAATTTGTCCTGCCTGCAAGATATGCTGGAGTAAAGTTAGCACAGAATTTGTGGGAGGGGCCAACCAGTGACTGGTCTGACTTGAGACTCATGCCACAAGAGGGAGTCCACATCTGGTAATGCCGAGGGCCAGGAACCAGAGGCCTGGCTAGTCCAGAGACCTAGGATAGAACTAAATCCAACTGGGAAAAAAAAGTCAATGAAATGATTCCTAATGGTACTCTTCTATACCCATAGACAAGAGTCTTGCATAATCAGAGATGCTCCTTCCAGCAACTCATGTGGAAACAGATGCAAAGACCCACAGCCAAACATGAGGCAGAGCTTAGGGAACCCTCTGGAAGAGGGGGAGGAAGGATTGTAGGATTCAGAGCTGTCAAGAACTCCACAGGAACACAACCCACAGAGTCAACTAACCAGGGCTCATAGGGGCTAACAGAGACTAAACTGACAATCAGGGAACCTGGATAGGTCTGATCTAAGCCCTCTGCATATTTGTTATGGTTGTGTAGCTAGGACTTCTTGTGGGACTTCAAATAGTGGGAGTGGGGAGAAGACTGTCTCTTATTCTTTTGCCTGATTTGGGGACCCTTTTCCTCCTGCTAGGTTGCCTGTTCCAGCCTTGATATGAGGTATGTGCCCAGTCTCATTGCAATTTGTAATGCCGTGTTTGGTTAATATCCCTGGGAGGCCTGCTCTTTTCTGAAGGAAAACAGAGAAGGAGTGGATCTGAGGGAAAGGCAGGGTTAGGGAGAGAAACTAGGAGGACAGGAGGGAGATAAACTTGGATGTAATATATGACAGAAGAGTGGATGGATGGATGGATGGATGGATGGATGGATGGATGGATGGATAGGTGGATGGATGGATGGATGGACGGATGGATGGACGGATGGATGGATGGATGGATAAATAACAAATAAGTAAATACGTTTTTAAAGAGAAATGAAATAAAATTGCTTGTTATTGAAAAGTGCTGCCACCTGTTTCTTACATTTATTACCTACAACCAGGGAAAACAAGCATCTACACTCCAGGCCCCTCTTCCTGTCTTCTTTTCCCCTCAGCCCTGCATTTTGAAAATGTGAGGACAGAGGCTAGTGCATTTCACAGGCAGGATTCTGTTCCTGTAACATACCAAGCCTTAGGAGGAAAGGCAAGATGAGGATTGTCACTCCTGGAAGGGTCAGGCTGTTCACCTATTAGGAATGTCTAGGACTTCTTGCTTAAGAGGAGGCACATCCAAATTAAGCAAAAATTTCTCCTGATATGCCCCCTATTCTTGGAATTTAGTTTATTCCAGATGTAGTCAAGTTGACAAGCCAAGAATAGTAACCACCATACCAGCTCACCCTTGTGCCCTAGCTAAGGTATAACTGAGGTGAGTTCTGCTCCTGATGGCACTCAACTTTTAGATTGGCACTCAACTCAAGATTTAATTTTTCATTTGAAAATTGTGTTTGTGTGTGTGTGTGTGTGTATGTATGTGTGTGGCTATGTATACCTTTTAGTGCAGGTGCCCTGGACACCCTGGAACTGGAGGTACAGGTAGTTATGAGCTGCCTGATATAGGTGCTGAGAACGTAATCCTGATCCTCTGTAAGAGCAGAGCACACTCAGAACTCTTAACTCTCTGGCCTGTTGAATGAAAGGATTCTTCCTTTCCTCTCCTCTCCTCTCCTCTCCTCTCCTCTCCTTTCCTCTCCTCTCCTCTCCTCTCCTCTCCTCTCCTCTCCTCTCCTCTCCTCTCCTCTCCTCTCCTCTCCTTTCCTTCCTTCCTTCCTTTCTTTTTCATAGAAAATTTCCCTTTTGATTATTCTCATAGGATGGAATTAATTCAAATATCAATTTTCGGGAGGGGGGCAGGGGTTGAGACAAGGTTTCTTTGTGTAGCCCTGGTTGTTCTGGAATTCACTTTGCAGACCAGGCTGGCCTTGAACTCACAGAGATCTATCTGCCTGCCTCTGACTCCTGAGTGCTGGGATTGAATGTATGCACCATCACTGCCCAGAAGCAATTCTTTCTATGAAAAGCAGTTCTTACTTTTTTCAATATTACCCTTTTGGCAAAAAAGCAGTAGTGCTGTACTTGATAACCAAATCTATCTAATACCCTCCCACACCTCCGAGAAACAACCATGGTTATTAGTCCTTTTGCACTTTTCCTGGAATGTCACATCCATAGATGTTCTAACTCTGTTGTTCCTCTTCTCTTCTTCTTCTCTTCCACACACCCAATGTGCCCAACTGCTCAATGTCTCCCTACCACCCAGAAGAAAATAAAGTTTTTTTTTAAAAAAACACATAAGGTGGGGGTGGGGGAAGCAGCCGGCTG